ATTCTAATATGTGATGAATATTAGAGCATAATAATTTAATCTATTGATCACCTTAATTCTTAATTCAAGATTCATAACTTAATGTAGTGTTATATCAAATTCTTCTACTGCATTCAATTCACCCATCTTGAGTTCTTATTGAGCCTATTTAACTAATTAAATTTCATATCCCTAAATGAAACATTGGTTCTAAGAATTCATATTTGACCGCAATAATTAGTATATGTATATCTACACGTTATACTAATTTCAAATTCACCTCTCGATACGTAAGAGATTCACATAATCATCAAATTATTGATCAGGTAATTTAATGCATTAAACTCAAAGTAAAACCAACACATAAGAATAAATCACATAAATCTTGAATATAAAAATAAATGATCACAAGTCGATTACATTGTTTTCCCTAATCTGAAGTNAATTTTGAATAAAAAATAAAGGATTATAAATCGACTACATCGTTTTCCTTAATATAAAAATTAGTTATTTATATGTTAAAAATAAAAACACGCAAAAATGGAAAGATATCATCAAAAATTGACGAAACGTGAATTTCTGATGTTTGAAGTCTCCTTTTATTTTATTTTATTTTATTCTTTCTCTTTTTCTCTGCGCTATTTTCTCCTCTGTTGACTTTTTCTTTTCTCATTTTCTTTTCTTTTCTCTCTCTTTCTTCTGGCAGTTTTTTCTTTTCTTACGTGTTGTTGTCTGTGTGTATGTATATTTCTTTTTCTTTCCTCCCAAGAATTCCCAGTGCCGCCTGTTTTTCTTCTGTCATTTGTTCCCAATTTTTCTATATCTACACAAATATATATAATATAATATATAATATGAGCTCGAGCTCTTGCCTACAAGCTTATAAGATATTTGTATTATTAACCTAGTATGAAGAAAGATGCATAGTATTACATAAGAAGGTGTGACAAATGCCAAAGATTCGACAATATCATAAATACTCCCGCCGAAGAGCTAACTGTCGTCCACTCTTCGACTCCCTTCGAGCAATGGAGAATTGACATTCTAGGACATTTTTCTTTGTCAAGAGGTCAACGAAAATTTATTGCGGTGGTCATAGGATAATCTACTAAGTAGGTAAGCCAAACCCCCATATGGAAGTTCATTGTATGTAGATTTGGGATACCGAAGGTACCATAACAGGCAATGGAAGACAATTTGATAATTTGCACTTCAGAAATTTTTGTACCAACATCGGGCTTGACCATCACCTGACCTCAGTCTCACACCCCAGAGTAATGGCCTCGCTGAATTAACTAATCAGATCATACTGCAAGATCTTAGAACAAGGATTACGGATGCTAAAGATAGTTGGCTTGAGGAGCCGTGTTGCATTTTTTTTATATCGCAAGTGTACGATAACGTAACAAACACTATAGTGGACCATTAAGTTCGGATATCGTTCCTACGAAGACTATACTTTAGGACTTAATCTAATTTTTTTTAACTCCTATTTGACAAAAGCATGTAAAATATTTATGATGATTGTGATTATTTTTCCTGGCTACTTTTAACTAATTAAAAATATATAAAAAGATTACACACAACGAATAATTGAACATTCTAATATGTGATGAATATTAGAGCATAATAATTTAATCTATTGATCACCTTAATTCTTAATTCTAGATTCATAAATTAATGTAGTGTTCGATCGAATTCTTCTGTTGTATTCAATTTACCTCTCTCGAGTTTTATTGAGTCTATTTAACTAATTAAATTTCATATCTCTATGTGAATCAAATTTAGTTTAATGAAACACTAGATCTAAAAATTCATATTATGACCGTA